GCCAAAGTGCTTTCCAGGAGAGAATCAAGACCTAACAAGTATAAAAATATAGGTTAAACAGTGTGACTAATCATGTGAGTATTTTAAATATTGCAATTAAAACCCTACAACATCATATAAAATTGAATGAAAGACAAATTTAAAGAAAAAGAGTCTGACAATAATAAATGCAATAAAAGTAGCTGTACTGTAGTATTCAGATGTGTTGCAGTGGTTGGTTTGGTTGTGTAACTACATCTAACATGCTTCACCTCCAACCCAGAGGGCGCGATGCTCCGGCTTGTGGCAGAGAACAATGGCCTCGACTTGGAGGTGCTGACTCTCATCCTGCTTCATCCTCAGCTGCAAACCACCACCACAGTGCGCCGTGCTGAAGGTCACGGCTTGATGAAGCCAACAGGATGATGTCATCTGCAGAGAGCAGAAAGAGTCTGTGCTGTTACTAATAGCGTAGCCTTCTGTTGACTGTGGTTGAAGGCTCACGGCTCCATCTGTGTTCAATTTTAGGTTTATTTTCATGTTTACTGTCAAGCTTGCATTGTGTGTGAAGCACATGTATGTGCCATTGAAGGCAATGGAAATACTGAAGGCCCTAAATATAAGTCTGAATATTTAATGCATTTAAGAAATTACACACACTTTTATTATGAAGTTTGTTTTTCACTTTTTGTCACACACAAAAAATGAAAATATAGCAAAAAAAAAGCAACTGTAGGAACCAGTGATTATTTTTGAATTTGATAAATAGAATGCTTTGTGATTTTTTTCAATCTTTTGTGAAGTCAAATGCCAAAAAATAACTATGATAAATGTTAGTCACGTCTTCCTGAAGCTTTAGCTGATGGTTTAAACACCTCGACTTTGAATTAATCTGCTGTTGACAGACTAATCAACACATACACACAAATGGCTGTACATACATACCCACATTTCCCGCTTAAACACAGTGCCATGATGAAAACACCTTTTATTTTTTGCTGCTGCACCATCGACAATCGAGGAATTATGTTTTCGGGTCCAATTTTCGTGAACACAAAATATCGAGACTGCCTTGAGGAAATTTCTGTACATTTGGTGCAAACCTTCAAATAGACTTAACAAAGAACTGATTACTAATTAACTAATTTTGTTGCAGGTCAACGGTCACTGGTGGCATTTTGTATGCAAATGGCGAAGGTCAAGTTTGGACAAACATGTAACTTGGCTGTTTAGCAGAGGCGTACAACCATGATGCAGTAATTGTAGTTTCCATAATGTGCCTTTTCAAGGGTTAATCAAAAAGTTATGAGGCTATGTGTGAAATTTGATGAGTAGGGTGAGTGAAGCGCAACAATTGTCCTATTGGAGTCAAACAGTCGGGTCATAATCACCTCACTGGAGCACTAACATGTCATTGGGCCACAATTCAGGATGTTTGTGCCGAATGTTCTCCCTCAGATAACTCAGGAGGTTACAGCAAAACTGTCCGACCCCGGAGGATGAATTCATGGTGCACAACCACACAAATGTTGAAAAAAAACAACCAGCATTCTTCTGGTGACTTGATGTGCCTCGTCTGGTTTTGGAAACTGCAGCTCTTCCATTGTAGAAGCTGCTGTTTCTTCTCTCAATGGTAGACCAGTGATGATTCTCTCAAATGACATGTTGACTCATGAAAATCACTGCTCGCACACGTTGCACGCGTGACTGTGAATCTCAGAACTTTCCGACCCACCCTCATATTAGCGCTCAGTGTCTCCCACTACAGTTCCTTAGCCTACATCTGTTGTGTTATTTATTGAAGGCCAACGCGAACGATCACATCAGCCAGCTTCTTATGTAACATTAAGACGAACATAAACATCCCCAATTCCTTAGATTTTAGGTTGTTTTTCCGAGCGCAGCACCGTTCCACAAAGCGTGGACAAGAAGTGCTCTCCTACACTTGCAACACCTACTGTCATCAGCTAGACACATTTGTTTGATTCCACCGGTGTAAAATAAACTCTGTGAACAGTCTTATGTAACTTACTTTTGCACGTCACCTCTCTAATGTATTGCCCATTTTTAGAGCCCAGGTTTCTTTATCTACGCCTTCCTCCAAGTCATTTTCATGCTTTGTTCTTGAGGATTGCCCATCACATTACAAATAACTAGAAAGCAAAGATATAAACATGGATAGTTCTGGAAATGTAGAGAAAATAGTGGCTTTACTACGATACTTCATCTTTGCTCTCTGTCTTGGTATTGGAGGCACGTTGACGACTCGGCTTGTAGCTGCTCTCATCGGAGCATCTCCTTAAAGAACACATGTAAAACTACTGCTTACCTTGTGTAATGAAGCGAAAACGAAATGTTTACAGTCAAATGTTATGGCATTTTCATGAAATTAGATTGTTCGCAGCAGAGAATGACGGGAAGATGAAAGAGAATAGGGCATGACGTGTGCTGTGGTTGCGAGCCAGACTCAAAGCTACACCGATGTGAGTACATGGCATGCTTCCCAGCCTACCGACGCTCAGAGCATGCAGCAGGAGATCGCATTCACTTGAGTTGAGCTGAGCAGGTTTTTGGAAAAGTGAAAATATGAGCTTTTAATGCTTTACATGTGGAGTTTGATTTTAAACTTGCGAGTCATTGAACTACCCATCTGTAACATACATTGGGAAATTATCCAAATCCATGGTATGGATATTTTTATCACAATCACTTTATTCCAAATTCCAATCACTCAAAATTAATTGCACCAGATCCTGTGTGAATCAAAAAGTTCTGCGTCCTTCAGTGCAACCGTGGATCCACTGGTGGTGGAGCTGACACCGAGATCTCAGGGACTTTCAGCTGAACTGCAGGCGAGTGTAGACAAGTATGCAAACAAATTTAAAATGTAAATAGTCTACAGTCTCTAGAGTCAAGTTTTTTTTATATATAATTGGTAACAAATGTGAACACTTGGAAAAATGTTGTAAATAAATACAGTAGAGTTGCTCGAACCTGAACCCACCATCAAACACAACAGGTCAGCTGATTATCAACCTGGCAGATTATTAGATCCAGTATTCACCATAATTATTGGTAAACTCCTGTAACTGTATTATTATTCAGGATTTGCAGTCGTGTTTTTTTTTTCATTAATAAAGCTGCTACTTTTCTTCGATGCAACCACCTCGCTCCATCTACAATCCAGTTACAGACCACAAGAAGGAGTCTATCAACACAGAAGAATGAATATTGAAAGGAGTCTTTTAATTACAGATAACAAAGGAAGTTTAATAGTGTTTTGTTTTTGAAGTTTGCGATATTGTAATTTTTGACATCAAGATTTTTGTTAACTAATAATTGGAATCAGTATCAGCCTTGAAAACAACCATGGCTGTACAGATGTACTTACTAAACCTCATAAACAGGTTTATCTTTCTAAAGAATTGCCTTTTCCAAACGTCATTATTGTTCACAGGATGAAATGCACAACGGAAACTTCAGGTGCTGAAAGAAGAAAGACAAAAGTTCGAGATGTTAGAAAATCAAAAGGCTTCACAATACATGACTGAGAGTTTGTTTTCTGTTGTCTTACAGAACAGAATGATCATGATGCTCCTCCTAAATCTCATTTACCAAACTGAAAAATGAGGCGAGTGTATCGGGGAAAATACCAGACAGGGTTAGCAGAAGCTCATAGCAGATTGATCTGTGCATACAGCTTAACTGTATTAAAGCTCATAATCCCTGTAAATATCTTTAGGCAAGGCAAAGTCAGCCTTTTAACATTGACTAAATGAAGCAAATACAATTTTAAAAACTGCTTCTCTCCTGAACCTCTGTTAATTTTATATATATATATATACACATATACATATATATGCGTATGTGTGTGTGTGTGCGTGTGTGTATATATAGACGCGAATTGTGTGAGTTGGCTGCTAATGAGGCTTGCACATTTTTAACCGAGATATTTTGATGGTTTTGCCACCCCGCCGTTTGGGGGTAACAGTGAAATTCGCTTTAAATGTAGAGCGTCTGTTCCTCTTTCGAACCTCTAACACCACAACAGATGGGGAGAATATGGAGCTCGGAAGGTTTTACCTCTGAGGTGGTAACAGTGAAGCCACTCATTAACACTGAATTTACCACTTCGTTAGCAATGCAGCTTCCTGTAGAGAGCGACCAGCCCTGGATGTCAAATCCATGGAGCATACATTTTACACTAAATCAGCTCTGGCCAGCATCGTGTAATCTGTTGTAAAGTCTAACATGAGCTTTTTGGAATCAAATCCAGTTGAATAACCCTAAAAGCATTTATTTGAGTAGCTTGTCCCAATAAATGTATAATAAAAAAGAATCATTGTGCCCTAAATTCGACCACTCTTGAATAATTTTCCATGTGTATGTGCAAAAGTGTATGTTTTCTTTGTGTATGTCTGCGTTTTAGACGAGATTGTGTGTCTGCCAATTTGTCAGGATTCAAGTAACAACAGTCTCATGCTGGGATCTGTGTTGGCACCATCACGGAGTGATAAGACGCAATATGATCTCATTGGAGGTGTACTTTGTTCCCATGGAAATTGGTCAATTTTAGCAGACGACTGAGAACTTTAGGCGGAGAAGCAGGAAGGTTGTATCCCAGAGGTACGCTCACATAATTAAGCATCCTCGCCAGGGTATTCAAGGCTAACAGCAGGGTTTGTTGTGAATAGAGGTGGCGAAAGAGGGTGTTGGAAAATCATAATGTGGCACAGAATAATACCGCTCTCATTTTACGGAGCGGTGGGAATAGCCCAAAAACTCTTTTTTTTAACAGCACCACGTTGTCAGTGTACGGGGGGAAAAAACAACTAAATTTTATTAAACCTGTTGTGCATCAGTGTCTTATTTTGTAATTTACATTTGCAATATGGATGCAATCTACTCCTGAAAGAAAGGTTGTGTTGTACTTGTAAGGCATTGTCTGTTTCTTTGAGCTTGCTGGAATCACACTTGATAATTTTGTGTTTTTGCTTTATATTTCAGAAAGTATTCCTACTATGTCTGTTCTGAAGCCAAATGCACAAGAGGACAAAGACGTGGAATCTGTGTCTGACAGCCGAGGTCGTACTCAGGAGCCATTACAGAGTCACACATTCTCCCTACAGAACAATGCTGCAGGTCTGTCCTCAGATGAACACGAAAACCCTTTAAATGGAACCCAGCCGAATCCATTTGTATACAGCAGTGTCCCTGCTGTTCCCCATGCAGGCAATTCATTGCCTTCAGGAGCACTTGTTAATGGACCTGGTTCACACCCCACCTCAGAGGTACACTGTGTCCTGAACAAAGGCACTGTTTTATCCAACAGTGTCCTGGATGCCGCGTGGCAAGCGGAGAAGGACACGAGCCCTGAGGTGTTACCACCACCTAGTGAGCTTCAATCAGACGCTTGGAAGAACACAGCGGGGCCCGTCGTAAAAACACTGGCCACACAGCCAGGTGTCAACACGCCACTGTCTCACTCGGAGGAGAATGAGTCTAAACTGGCCTATTCCACACTGTCAGGTGACGGTGCAGAGCAAATGCACATTAGCCAACCTTTGACAAAACAGACAATAAAAACAAGATCTCCGCGGGACGTGGAATGGTCAGGAAGCTCCTCGGACGATTATGGTAATACCAAAGTAATCAGATGGGATTCGGCGAGAGAGTGCTTTTTGCACAATGACAGAAGGCTGGAGACCACAGTGATGCACCGAAGAGACGGAAAGCACAATACGCACACAAAAAGCACGTCAGGTTGTCTGGAAAAGGTTAACAACAGCCACAGACATTTCTGCAGTGGTAATGATGTTGAAAATGTTGACACTGGAAACAAAGATGAATCTGTGGATACAAAATCTGATATTAAATATTCAGTTATGCCATTCAAAGACCTTTCTAGGAACATAGCTTTAGACTCCGAGCACCGTATTTATAGCACAGCACAGGAAGGCTGTAATGAGGGAAATGACCCTGAAGATGAAAACAGCGTTAGTCCAAAAGTGGAACAGTTGAAGGCAGAGCAACTTGAACACGATCCACTTTTCTTTTCATGCACAATATGCAATGTTAATTTTAAGGAAAAAAGACATTTCCATGGACATATGATGTATCATTTAGGCAAGCATAATCAGGTGAACAGTGAGAATGTTTCACAGCCCTTTATATGCAGGGAGTGTGGGCGTTTGTTCTGTGATAGCAACTCCCTCATGAGGCACATCATTATTCACCAAGACAGGCTGGAAAAACTTATGGAGGAAATCAAAGGTCTGAAAAACACAGAATTTGAAGACAGGGCCACCGCAGTGCAGTGCCCTCAGTGCGCATTCGGTTGCAACTGCCCCAAAATCTTCGTCCAGCACGCCAAAACACGCGATAATCTGACGCACTACTACTTCTGCGAGGAGTGTAACTACATCACACTGACGCAGCAGGCACTTGAAGCGCACTTACACGTCGCACACCTCAACAAACACCAGCCCCAGCGCAGAAGAGTGACTCATACTAATGATGCAGAGGGAGAGGACCACGTTCAGGTTCAGTGCAAAATGGGTGTTTTCGCTGCCGGAGACAAAGTAGTGTTGGAGAGGCGTTCAGAGCCAAAGCAGTCAGTCTGTGGCGATTCTAAAAACTTTGCTGACCTGTCCAAAGTTGCCAGATTTAAACCGAATCTGTTTGAAGAAAGAGCCCGTTTCCCCCACTGTTCCAGTAAGAAAGGGGACATTTACATTCAAATGTCCAAAGACAAAACCATAAATCACACCCTGTTTAAGCGCAGCGCCGGCTCCACCAAAACCGCGCTCCTGCCGTCTTTGTGGAGGATCGATAAGCACGGAAAATTACTCCTGCAACCAGGAGAAAAATTAGATGTAGCCACTGATCTCACCTGTGCAGAGCAGGATGCTGAAAACAATGACAGCAAGGTTTTTGGCAGCACAAAGCAGGAAAACTGTCCTGCAGCCGCTGATTTTTTGCTATCAGCCAGGAAGCTTAAATTAGACCAGATGTTCTGTCAGGAAAGCAAGAAGAACCCAGGAAGCGGGAGTTTACAAGTGCAAGCAAACCACAATTCTCCATCAAAGCGAAAAATGTCAACACCTTTGCATAACACCACAGAAAATATGAATGGTAATATATTGCCTAGGCTTAGCCAGAGGCTTAAGAAACAGTGTGCAGTTAGGGAGTTAGATAAAGGCTGTGAGGGCAGCGATAACTTCAGTGATGACACCAGCGGAGCTACAGGCAGCTTCTTGGAAAGCAGGAAGAATGAAAGGAACCCGTATGCTCGGAGGTACTTCAGAAAGAGGCAGAGCTTTTCAGCCAAACACCAAAGCCCCCACACACTGGAGGATGAGGATGATGGAGCTGAAGACTGCAGCGACATAGAGCAGCTCGTAATCAAGGAGGAGTACATCGAAACAACAGTGTGTGATGATCCTCCACAGTCGTCTGCTGCGTCTCCAGGTGACAGCTGTGGTATTTTCCCCACGCCGGGGGTAGAACACAAGACCTGTCCTTACTGCCCCGCCATGTTTGAGTCTGGAGTGGGTCTGTCCAATCACGTGCGAGGGCACCTTCACCGAGTCGGCCTGAGCTACAACGCTCGGCACATGGTTTCACCAGAGCAGGTGGCGTTGCAGGACTGTCAGCCGCGAGTTCGCAGAAGGATATCTGCTGGCATGAGGAGAATGAGAAAAGGTGAGAGTGTTACTTCAACTATTGTAATAATAAAGATGAACAGATCCACAGAACAAGGCAGATCTAAATGGACTGTTTGCTAAACCTGTCTCCCAAACAGCCTTTGTTCTGTTGTAGCTTAGCAGTATAGATAAGGCCTGCACATCTGGAAATTTGTGTACATGCAACTGTAATGTATGTAGATGGACAATCAGCATTTAAAGACCCTATTAGATAAAAATCCACTTTTATTGTTGCCCGTCAGTTTCTACATAGAACCTGAGGAAGCCATTGTTATTGAGCTAAACATTTGCACATTCCTGCCCCCTCGCTGCTCACTGCTTCCAGGTGAACCGTTCAAAATGAGCAGCTGCCTCCCAGTCCTGCAGGTTTATTTACTTTCTAAAGCTGCTCCTGAATGCTTTTGGCTACAAGAGTGAACGCAAGAGTCTTCATGAACTCCCAGCATCTGAGAAACTGAAAAAAAGTTTTGGTTTGGTTTGCAGCATCACCACAAGAAGAGGAAGATCTTTAGTGTTAGCATGTTGTGTGGCTAATGTTACCATTAGCTTTGATCGCATGTCCACAGGTCAGAACTGAGAGACATTAAGAGATTGTGGGAAGTGAAACCAATAAACAAGAGCCTGGTGGGTCACTGTGTTTTCATGTTGCTTGTTGTGCTTCAGTGCAACGTAAACTCTGGTAATGTTTGCATTTGTTTGCTTCGCTCTATAGTGTAGTTTTATACGGCCAAATTCCCAATAATGTTCTCATTTATACATTTTTCTGCTTCTGCCCATTAAGGCTACATCATAACCAGCAGTCACTTTAAAATCATTTCTACTACCGCTCTATACCACTAAGACACTGATTTGATAGCTGCAACGTTGAGTTAAAAGCAATGAATTCTGTGATATTTCCATGTAAAATAATCACTCAGAGAGACACTCAGAAGCTTGTTTTGCCCTGTGCATGGAAAGACAGACTTAGTGAACAGGCCACTTTGGTTTAGAATGACCACAGAAGAAGTCTCTTAATCCCCGTTTTAGATCTGGTCTGCAGTAAGCCACGTTTTGCTTCATTAATTCTATTGTTTCGTAGCTGCTGTACCTACTTTACCAATGCATTTGAATCTACAGCTACTAAATGTGCCAGTAGTCGTTAAAACTTCTGAAGTACAAAGCAAGCCAAAGCCTTATATATTGTTTTTTGTTTTTTCGTTTCAATTAATGCGACAAATCTTCTTGTATGTTACAGCTGTTAAACCAGAAACCCGCGGAGAGCACACGTGTCCCCTGTGCTGGGGTTGGTTTGATACCAAGACTGGCCTCTCCAACCACGTGAGGGGACACTTGAAACGAATAGGTAGAAGTGTTACGAGCAACAGCAGCAAGTCCCCGCTCTGCGTCTTAAAGGAACTGCTTAAGGACAAAAAGGAACATGGGAACATCCTCCAGGTCCTCAGCGAGAGCCGCTTCCCCACACGACCTCCTGGATCTCAGAAGCTCATCAGCAGCAATGACTTGTTCCTGACAGCCATCCCAGTGAAAATCCAGTGTGGAACAAAGAGTCCGTATCCCATATTGAACAGCTTTGTACCAAAACAGGAGGCAGATGCCTTCTCAGATAGGAAGGAGCTACAGGTAGAAGCACAAAGAGGCGCTAAGGCCTCCTCAAGCACTTTAGTCGAACTGCTCAGAGCAAAACAGGAAAGTGTGGAGCTTGCAATGAGAAACAGCCGGGACACCTATGCAACCAGGATGATCTGTGACATGACCAAAGATTACATGGAGGAGACACAGATGAGCAGTGTGGAGGCAAACTGGACTCACGGTATGGAGTCTTACGCTCTGGGTTTGTATGCAATTTTGTGTTTGAACTGTATTTTACAAGGAGATATGGGTGGTTTTGCATGTTTTAGTCAGTTAATCGTACTGTTTACAGTAACAATGAGCCACAGCATTAAAATGCAGACCGGATTGAAATGAATAACACGAATCATCTTGTTGCAATGTTCTGTTGTGAAACCTGGAGTAATGTGGATGATTGACACCACCCACCTAAACATTGTTCCAAACCAAGCACACTCCCCCTGACTGCAGCAGGACAGTACACTCAGCCACACTGCAAAAAAATTGCTCTGGAACAGCTCGAGGAACACGACACAGAGCCCAAGCTGTTGACAATGCCTTTAGATCACAATCCAACAGAGCAGCTACAGGAGACACTGGGGGAAAAAAAATCAGATAAATGGAGACCCCACCTTACAAACCACAGCACTAAAAGGATTTACTCCCATCGTCACGGTGCCACGCACCCCGGACACCTTCACAAGACCTGCACAATAGTAGGCCGGTGTTTTTAATGTTGTGGCTCATTGTAATTATGCTTAGGTGAGCTTCCAGTCACTTTCGTCTTAAAAACTTGGAAAATGGTCTGAAATGACTTCCAGTTCATTCTTTCTATGTCTCAGTATCACATGTGCCATTTATATTTCATCATTAACAGAGCTGTAGTTGCAGTAGTTGACTTTTGAAGACCTTTGATTTGTACATGCTCTCCATCAAGGAGCCAAAATGCAGTCGGAAGTTCTAAATTCTCCAGAACGTCAACCCACGGTGCTCGACACACCTCAGAATTAGTCATTGACATGGTGCTACAGCCTAATCTGTGACCAGGTGCTGTATCCTGTGAAAAGCCTTTCAGAACCGTCCACGCAGTGTGTTTTTCTGTGCTCGATGACAGCGGCACTGTGACCATCTGCAGCAGACCAACGCGTACCTATTGTGGTGTGAATAAAACCACCAGCACATCCCCTATCAGCTTTTAAAGTCTGCAGCGGTCATGTGGAAACCATGAATTGGCCTTAACGTGTACCTCTTTCCTAGATAGTTGGCAAAACTACCCATGAAAAATACACACCATTTCAAAGCACCTATTACCGTAATTTCCGGACTACTGAGTGCACCTGAATATAAGCCGCACCCACTAACTTTAAAAGGAAACAAGTTTTGTACATATATAGTCGCACTTGTCTATAAGCTGCAGGTGTCCACGTTGTAACATGAGATATTTACACAGAAAGATTTTATGAACTTTTAATTAAATATGTACCGGTAACATACACAAATACGTACCGTAAGTGTTTTTTACAAACAGTGCCTGTAACACGGCTGGTTAAGAAAATAAGAACTACAGTAGCCTACCATCTTCATCTTCCTCCTGCGCACTAAAACCACTAAAGTCGTCTTCTCCAGTCTCTCTTTCGTTGTCACTCTCAATGTCACTGATGTCTCCACGCAAATTCGTAAAAATCCATAAATTATCCGCATCATTGTTTAAGCCGCAGTGTTCAAAGCGTGTGAAAAAAGTAGAGGCTCATAGTCTGGAATTTACAGTAATCTTTAAAGTATATTTTCTTACTCAGTTCCACCATTCATTCCTTGTTATTCCAATGCAAGCAACGTCATTACAGTCTTTCCTCTGGTCCTTCAGTAGTACTTTGGTTTTTAAATGTGAATATTTTCTGGTTTCTTGTCTCTTTTATAAAATCTATATCCTTGGATTGTGACCAAAACGAGACATCTGAGGACCTCATCTAAAGCTTTATGAAGCACTGATTAACATTTTCCACCATTTTTTACATCAAACAACTAAAAAATGAACTGAGACAATATTCGACAGATCAATTAACAATGAAAACAATCATTACTTGAAACCATGTTTGGCAGCGACAAAAATGAGTGCTCTATGTTTTTTATAGCATCGTTCACCTGCAGAAAAATCCACGATTCAGAACAGAGATTGAAGCTCAGTTCCATGATTTGAATCAATATTTTATCACACATTTACACAGATAACATGCATACTGCAGGCAGAAACCAGTTAAACTATGTGAGAATAGTTCACAATCATTTCATTTGCAGGGGGGAAAAAAACACATTGTGTAGATAGAATGTCGCCAAAGTGCTTTTGAAGTTCATATTAAAAAATCATGAGATCCTCTTGATGTTGAGTTGGAAGCCCGTCATCCATGTTTGCACAATTTTGTTTAATGTCTGTCCAAATCAAACTTCCAGTCAGGTACCAAGAAGGATGTCGTTAAAGATTTCAAATCAGATTGCTCTTTGTTGAGTTCTATTTTAAGTTTCTCATTATCGGGCTACAGTGTCAGCTGCTGCCAAACGTGTCTCTCTGCCGTGTGTCCTGCTGCAGACTGACCTGATGCCAATTTGTTGGCCAACAATACAAATACATGTGTATCACTGAGCTGTAGTCCACATACACACATGGACAAAATTGTCACAATGGTCACAGAAATAACTTCAATCTGACAAAAGTAATAATAAATAAAAATTCTATGAAAATTAACCAATGAAAATCAGACATTGCTTTTGAACCGTGGTTTAACAGAATTATTTAAAAAAATAAACTCGTTAAACAGGCCTGGACAAAAATGATGGTACCCCGAGAAAAGACTGAAAATAATGTGAACATAAGGACATGTTCAATCAAGGTGTGTCCTCTAATTAGCATTAGAGGTGTCTACAAACTTGTAATCAATCAGTGGGCCTATTTATAGGGTTACAAGTAGTCACTGTGCTGTTTGGTGACATGGTGTGTACCACACTAAACATGGACCAGAGGAAGCCAAGGAGAGAGTTGTCTCAGGAGATTAGAAAGAAAATGATAAACAAGCATGTTATAGGTAAAGACTATAAGACCATCTCCAAGCAGCTTGATGTTCCTGTGACTACAGTTGCACATATTATTTAGAAATTTAAGATCCATGGGACTGTAGCCAACCTCCCTGGACGTGGCCGCAACTGATGACAAATCGGAGAGACGGATAATACGAATGGTAACAAAAGAGCCCAGAACAATCTCTAAAGACATTAAAGGTGAACTCCAAGGTCAAGGTACATCTGTGTCACCATCCGTCGTTGCTTGAGCCATCATTTTTGTCCAGGCCTGTTTCATGAATTTATTTTTTTAAATAATTCTGTTGAACCACGGTTCAAAAGCAATGTCTGATTTTCATTGGTTAGTTTTCATAGAATTTTTATTTATTATTACTTTTGTCAGATTCAACTTATTTATGTGATCATTGTGGATTTTTCTTTCATTAACTGAGGGGTACCAACAAGTTTGTCCACGTGTGTGTATCATCTCCAGAGTCACAGATGAGTCATTTAATTAGAAATGCATTAGTTTAATTGCATTCCTTAGACATTCTTGTGTCATTGTTCTTTAAATTTTCAAAGATCCTTTGGGAGAACTACTTAACCATCCCAGTTCTCCATATTTGTTAACAGGCAGTGGCACACAGCAGCATTATTGTCAGTTTTCTATGACAGAACTAGCAGATCGGTGTGTGTGTGTGTGTGTGTGTGTGTGTGCAGTTTATGAATCCTCCGTGACACTCATGAGGTGGTGTATTGTATGTGAAAATATTCCCCCTGAAGACACAAGATTGTGTTAAACTTTACCAGTAACACTTTCCAAACAGGAGAGTGCAAATCAGATGCTTCGAATGAAACCAGGTGACAGAAGACTTGAGCGCACACTGGGAGTAACAGTTTGGATAATAAAATTACTGCATGAACTCCAACACCGCTCTGCAAACCTTCTCCTTAGATATGTAACGTCTGATGACCCAGATAGACTGATTTAAAATCAAATATTCCGCTAAAGATTGAGCAAATAAAAAATAAAATAACATACACTGTAAAAAAAAAATAAATAAATAATACAGTACATTTTTTTTAAAAACCCTTCAAAAAATTCTCATATTCCGGCAGCTGGAGTAATAAAAACTACAATAAAATGAGAGAAAATAACCATAACATAAATATTTGTCCAAATTCCGTAATTAAAATAAAATGTCAAGCCTTATATTTATGCAATATTGTTTATTATTTATGTATAATTTATTAAAGGATATTTAAATATGTAAAAACGTTTGTCTTACCAATAATAATAATAATAATAATAATAATAATAATATACTAGTCTAATTAGATGCATCTATTTAACTTTTTTGTTGTGAAAACTTAAATGTACATAAATGTACAAGGTATTTGTCATTTAACAATTAATCTACGTAAATTTATAAAGCCAATACTTTCTGTTCATTGTTACGATTTGTATCTGGTTTTTAATATATTTACAGTATGAAGCTTGAATGTAACAGTTTCCTTTATTAATTAAAAAGGATGTATTAGCAAAATTGTTTTTATGCCAAAAAGAAAAAATCTTTCTTTGAAAAAAAAAAAAGGAAACTAGTTGGTTATTCAAAGTTAGAACTTTTTTTTCCTTCTTCTTCTTTTTTTTTTTCTTTTCTTTGTACATTAGATGATTAAGTGTATTTTTGTAATTTTTTTTTTTTGGCATATCAAAAACCCACACACAAAAAAGAGGAAAAGCTTACTTAGTAAAATTGCGGTTTTGTTTTTTGACATAGTTGTTCAATGTTTCATCTTTCAGGAGATTCAAAGAAGCTTTGCGTGGAGTGTAACAGCACCTTCCCCGCCGCCGCCCAGCTTCCCGCTCATCTTCGAGCGTATGCACACAGGAAGAGGATAGCCATTTTTGAAGAACCAGGTGAGGTTTGTGGAAACAAAATGAATGCTGCTCGCGTAGACGTTACATAAAGCGATCTGTCATCCTGACGTGCATCTTAATTTACAAAATGGACTTGAAAAGATTTTCGTGTACGGGATTATTTAGTTGTGATAACTTGATATCCTCCCCCAGATAAAGCCGTGGTGCTGTGTTTGTTTTCTAGGCTATGATTATAAACAGAAGAAACTAACACCAAGGCCTGGGCTGAAAAAGAAGATTTCACCCTCCCTGAATACTGAGATATACACTCTCACCTGCAGGTAGGTAGAGCGAGAGGTTACACATGATGGTTGTCTGAGTGGAGACTAAAATGAGAGATCTCTTTACCCAGCTGGTGTTTTCATACATGCAGTATACAATCGTGAGTACACCATGTCACTTAAAGGTCCAGTGAGTCAACACTGCATCACCTTGTAGTACCGTAAATTCCAGACTATGAGCCGCTACTTTTTTCTCATGCGTTGAACACAATGATGCGGCTAATTTATGGATTTTTACGAATTTGCGTGGAGACATCAATGACATTGAGAGCGACAACGAAAGAGAGACTGAGGAAGTGTGTGACAAAGGAATTCCGACACTGAAGAAGACGACTTTAGTGGTTTTAGTGCACAGGAGGAAGATGAAGATAACGATCCATGACTTTTCCTGGGAGGCTACTGTATTTTTTATTTTCTTAACCAGCCGTGTTACAGGCACTGTTCGGAAAAAAAGCATTTACGGTCTTTAGTTAATTAAAAGTTAAAAGAATCTTTCTGTGTAAATATCTCCTGTTCCAACGTGGACACCTGCAGCTTATAGACAAGTGCGGCCTGTATATGTACAATATTAGTTTTCTTTTTAAAGTTAGTGGGTGCGGATTATATTCAGGTGTAGTCTGGAGCTTACGGTAACTTCATTACTTCTGCGTTGAACAGTAGAGTCTTTGCTCTGATGCAAACCATCTATTTAGATGTAATATATTAAAAATACAGGCCCCACAGTAGGAACACAATGCTTTCATACTTTCATTACTTCATATATCTTTGTCTGCATTGACATTATTACATTTCTGGTGCCATTCTTTAGACAAGAACTTTTGCAGTTGCTCTTTGCTGGAGGGGTTGTGTTGCTCCACCTTTACCTTTAAAGCATCCCAAAGCTCTTCTATTGGATTGTAGTGAGGTGGCATGCATAAATTTGACTTTGTTAAAAGCTCTTGAGTGGTTTTGGCAGGATGCTTCAGATCATTATTATGTTCTTCTGCAAAGCTTCTTGGAGTCAGCCAGTATTTTAGTGTTTCCACAAGTCATGTTATAAATATGCCACTACAGTTAGGCTAAATGAAAATCACAGGTGTTTAGCTTCAGTGGTAACAGGTTTTCTAACTTGTGTGTCAGTTACCACAAAGTCTTTCTAAAGTATTTGTTTCTGATTGTTCATAAGAGGAAGCAGTCCACTGTTTAACTAGAAATAATGCAGTTATTGAAGGGTGACTCACGTTTTAATCATTTGTCTTATAAGTGATATCACATGGGGGTCGACTTACTTTTGTTGTACGAGGTGTGTCAGGAAAGTTCCAGGACTGGTGTCACAAAAAACTACCAGTTTTCCCCTTCAGACGATCAACCAGCACGTCTACAAAGAGATCCTGCCGCGTTTGCTTCATTCAAGAAGAGGAGAGAGTTGTGGCAAGACATATCGTTGCTGCTTCACCATGACAGCACCCTAAGCATCCCACAGTTCCTGGCTGAGAAGAACATCTCTGTGCTGGAGCAACCTCCCTACTCACCCCACCTGGCTCTGTGGGATTGTTTCCTCTTCCCCAAGCTCAAGGGGGTCATCAAGGGGACCCGTTTAGAAGACGTGGACGACATCAAGATGGCTGTGACGACGGAGCTGAAGAGGATCCTGGGAGAATCCTTCCAGGAGTGCATGGCGGCGTGAAGAGAAGGCTGGGGAAGTGTGTTAGACTCCAGGAGGATTACTTGGAAGGAGAAAACTTGTAATTTGGATTTGAAATATATCTTTTTTTGACACCAGTCCTGGAACTTTTCTGACACACCTCGTATACTGTGTTCATCTGAGAACAAACGTTTTAGGTCTTAAATGTTCCTCCTTCATTTTGTGTTTCTGCAGATTTTGTGACCTCGTCTTCCAGGGTCCTTTGTCCATCCAGGAGGACTGGATCAGGCATCTACAGAGACACCTTCTGCACACCAGCGTGCCCTACTCAGGGACAGGGATGGTCGAGGTTTTGGGTCTTCATCACAAAATACAGATTAGCATGTCTCATGAGCACCCAGAACCTGAGTAGAGTTTTATCCAACTAGAACTTCCAGCTGCCTCTTGAATTTGCACACTATTTCTATGTACAGACGTCTCCCACAACTCTTTATAGAAACATATATAACAGTTCATCTAGACTACGTAATGATAGTGTATATTATTAATTCTCTCTATATAAGCAAAAACTTTATTATAGAATATTTTAATGCAACGCTTTGCCTTATCAACTTCGCTATACAAGTAATAGGATTAATATTTATTGTGTAGGAACCATAGCGGTAACAAACATGTACACAAACACCTATAAGCTGATCTGGCAGTGCAGATTTGCCAAAAATATTTTTCTCATGATATAAAGTGCCTTGTTATAATAACAAAGCAACTTCTTATAACAAAAAAAAAACTTATCATAAAATGGGGAAAAAAAAAAAAAAAATAGCACAACATCTGACTTTTGTTACGAAAAGCTTTTCATCATAACAAGAAAAGTTGGAAGGAGCATTGCCACTGCTGAGCCGCAGGAACAGACAAGACTTTGCATCCGAATGAATTTCATGTCTTCTTTCAGAGATGAAATCCGGTGAAACGGTAGCTCTTGTTAAGCAGCGTGCACGGCAGTGTCATTAGTCTGCGGATGCTTTGTAGAGCTTCACCTCTCTGTACCTGCATCAGACGGAGAACCTCTGTTAATCAAAATGACACCCAAGATGTTGCGTCGGGACAGCTTGTTCTGTCGTCGTTTGTTCTTCGATTTAACCTTCAACCATCAGCGTAATTTCTGAAATGTGGCGCTCATTATGCTAACAGCTTTTTTTTTTATAATGAGAGAACTCTCTAGTTATCACAAGAAAAGTTATAACAACATTTTCTATAATTAGCTCCGTGTTTCCAAAGGTTCTGTTCTTGGTTGAGTCGTCATGAGTGACACCGTGCTTACGTTTCATACTAAACAGTCTAAAGACGCCCGAACTGTTTCTAACCTCATCGCAGCTGCTGCACTTGGTGCTTATTTGCAAGTTAGCGCAGGAAGTTTTATATTTTCAGACTTTAGAGCAGTCTGTATGAACCGAGACGGCTTTAAACTGATGATGCAATTCATTGTTTTCTTCTTTGGACCAGCGGTGACTGTCTGGTTGAACCACCAAAACATCCAGCTCATGCTTTACTATTTTCATTAAAAGTTGATTAACATGCAGTATAATATCTAAAAGACATATAAACATAGATTTAGCGTATCTATTTTATGCATTTATTAACCTATTTATTTTGAAAGTCGACTAGAGATTTTAAAACTGTAGACACCCTCTAATATCAGTATCACGTGGAGTTTTATCATCGAATGTTGTTAGAACATGAAATAATTTTCACTGTTATATATATCTATATATCTTACTTATCTACTCAAATATTTGTCATATTCTGATACAACTTTTGTAGGTAAATGTTTGTATGGAAATCAGCTGCATTCATAAATAACTTGCATGATATGAAAGCGTCACTGACTGAATTAAACTGACTGAGAGCAGCGTCTGACCAAGTATGAGGAAATCATTTAGGACAAAGGGGTTAACAAGTGTGTGGAGAAGAGGAGCAGTTCACAATTTAAGCCTGTCTTAGAATATATGTACAGTGAAAAACCCATTTCTGGTCATGTAGTGTCCTCTAGGCACAACATCTCCTCTTTTATTGTAAAATCGTCTGTCAAAGTTTATCTGAAATTAATGCGAGGCCTGGTTTGTGTTTCTAGCTCTCTTCTGTGTCTCAGCAGAGAACAGGAAACAGGGAGTTTGTTAAAGGCCTCGTGTTAGTGTCAGATTAAGTTTGACCCTGATTTTTGCAGAGTGAAGGCTGTAGGTTTTGTCTCAGGCAGCATATGAGGACAGCCGGTGTTTCTTTAAAGGTGGAGTATGCGATTCTAATCCACTTTTTGGATGCTCCGTTAGCTTTCCGTGCTGTGTGCGCTGGAAAAAAATGAAATGTTCATACGCAGCCAAACAAAGAGGCTTGAACTGATCAACACAACACTGTTCTAGCACAGTGGTCCTCAAACTTTTTGAGCCACGACCCCCAAGATAACAGAAATTTGTGTTTGTAACCTCCCAGTTTGAATTTTTAATATATCTAGCTTTGTTGTTCATGTATTAATGTGTTAAAAATAAATGTGTTAACTCCACTGATTAATTTCTTTACATTAATACGTTGATTTTCTTTTGAATGAATGAAAGAACTGAATTTATTTTTAACAAATGAAAGGGAAAAAATATATATAAACAAAAGAAAATAATTTTAAAAACAGAGAAAAAAGAATAATAGTATCGCATAATCAAATCATAGTATTAACAAATTCAAAAAAGGAGTGAGAAGAAGTATGCACTTTTAATTCTTACAGCCCTAATACACAATTATTTGATAAATGTAGGCTTTTTAATTATCTTGGGACCCCCATGGGGGTCCTGACCCCCAGTTTGAGAACCACTGCTTTAGCGTATCCTGTGCAACGTTCACGCTCGTTCACAAGCAAATAGAAAGGAGGCAGTGGGAGCAAGAGGGGCGGTGATTGTGACTAGAAAAGTATGCTCACTAGCTTTTTACAGAACTGCAGACTCCACGTTTAATTTAACAACGATGCACCTTAAAGGAAGATACAAAGCAAATGTCAGAGTTAAAAACATGACACTGTAAAAACAAGTCTCTAATTTTATGAAAGTTTTTCTTTTTATTTTACTGATTTTTTCTGTATTTTTAAAGACACAAAAATATGAATATAAAATTACAATAGTAGAACTATTTACATGTTTAATGAGAAATAACATTAAAAACCTGCAACTTTAAATTAGCCTAACATTTCCTTTTTTTAAAAAAAGACAGGAAAATAGTTTCTATCTATCCTATTTTTTTAGGGGGTGAGTTTACATTTTCTGTTTGTTTCGTTCTTTTTGGGTGCCCCAGCTGCCAGAATACTTTATGATTTAATATTAGTTTTTCATAATTTTCTTTTTTTTTTTTTTCTTTTTTTTTTAACAATAATGTGCGATGAAAGCTTCTAGAGGTTTGTTCATCAAAGAAAATGGGCAGGATTTCTGACCATCAACTTTATATCTGTTAGGATGTTTGTTGACCTGCTGGAAGGACAGAACATTGGTGCCATAAAGACTTTGCTCCTGCTTCTTTATAGGAAATAAATAATCCTGACTGTACGCCCACCACTTTCCCATTTTCTGTACAGTTCTGTTACATCTGTGTTAAAGTCGTTTGTATTTTCATGCCAATAAATAATGACTGAAGCTGTGTTTAGACACAGTAATGACTTTGCTGCTCCAAACTTCCATCGGCTGTCAGGTCTGTAATCATTTATGTGGCAGAGGAAGTGATATATTTTTTAACAGCAGTTTTTGTGTTTGATGAAGAATCAACAAGATTCAAATTCAGAAATGTGAAAACTCGTGGGACTATTTTGGGTAATCTGTGACGGGGAAAAATGTACTGCTAAGATTATAGCAGCAAAGATCTCCACAAAATACAAATGTGAGTTGTCAGGGGTTTTTTCTGGAATAGTTTTGGGGTAGTTTATCATGTGTTGTAATCTGTTAATCTGCCCTCTAAGCGGTGCCGTAAACACCCTCAAAACATGGCAGTCACGTCAACATAATTTCTTTGTCTTTGATTACAGAGCGCAGATGCAACTTTTAGCAGCAGCTGGAGTCGCCGTTTCCGCTCGTCAGAAAGGTGTTTTACATGATAATGAATCAATCCCTGCGCACACAACCCACTTTTATTTGTTATGTTTAACAAAAATTTGCCACAATCCTGCTGGGTGAAGCTTGTGTTCCAGTGTCACTTTCCACCGCAATTCCCAACAGAAAGTAATTTTAAGGCTATGTGCTATTTTAAACTCCAGTTTTTTTGTTTTTTTTCCGCAGCACAGGCTCAGTATTTGATGTATCTAACGCTTGATAGCCACTTCTGGGTTTTCTACTTACCAGTGGCAAAGGGGGCTAACCCTGCAGTTTATCTTGGGCAGTATTTAAAGCAGCGATCAAAGCTGTACAAACCAATTGTCATCATGCTTCTCCGGAGGGAATTTTGAAGTACATTAATGCTCCTTCTTTGGGAAATAATTGTGCCACTCTGTGACTTCATTAGGTCTCCTGGCTGTTTCAAAAGATGTTCTCTCTGGAGGTTGAAAGCCACATCGCTGGCAGACAGCATCCCAAGGGGCTGAATGAATAAAAAAAAAAAGGAGAGATTATAATGAGATTGAGTTAGCCATGACCAGAATTGGGCTTTTCATTATTCCACTGGCTGGAGAGGGAGAGAGAGAGGGAGAGGGACAAGGCTGACAGAAAGAAATGTGTTGTTGCAGGACCTGCACTCGCCATCTGCCATGAGGGTCCAATGGTAGGCAGCCAATGCATGCTTATCATTGCCATGGGTATCAAAGGGGGCCTCCTCTCTGGAGAGTTCTCCATTAAAGCAGCAAGCACTAACCCCTGCACAGAGACAGAGAGACAGAGGAACCTGCATGTAATTCAGAGGTAACACTTTCTATCAATTTAGCATATTAAAATGAGATGCTGTTCTGTGTATGCTAACTAGTGTTTTGTTTTTATGATGTGCTCTGCTGCACCCTGAGAAAGTGACTTTTTAGTTTTTCTACCCACCCCACATTCATCCGCAGCGATCCAAAGGTCAGGACCATTGATCATGACCTGGTCTTTGTCCAGTTATTCACAAGTGCCACAGACTGTCTGTTTGAAAAAGAGAAGAAAAATCAATAGGTTTCCATTATCTGCTTGGGCAGTGTCACTGGCCTGTCAATGATCCTGTTACAGCGGCGGTACAAGGGTGACACGGGCCCACACTCGATCGCTGCTGACAAGAGGAAAACATGCTGACAGGCACCGGGAACAAGTTGGAACACAGATTTGCACTTCAAGCAGCCGTCCGAGGGAGGTATCGTGCGAGGCCACCGCGCTGCAGAGGGCGGGGGGGGTGGGGGTGAGCTCGGTTGGGGTTGGGGCGGTGGGGTTGAGAGGTGGTTGGTGGTTGGTGGTGGTGGTGGTGGTGGTGGTGGGGGATTCCCAGCCTGCCTCCTTCTACTGTCTGACTGTCTAGCTCTCAACCACAAATGCTTTTATCCTCCCATAAATTATTCACCTCTGGATACACCAAA